AAGATTCTTCGATTACGCCTCTTCATTACGACAAACAACAGACCACAACTGAACTTTGGCGAACATAGAGACACCACAACAGACCACAATCGAACTCCGGTGAACACAGAGGCACCATACAGACCACACCACAACAGACCACCGACAACACAGTGCCACCACGAACAACCGAACTTCGCCAAACACAGTACCACCACAACAGACCACCACCAACAACTCCACCACAACAGTATTTCGATAAAAAAAAAAATTAATTTATTCAGAATATATATTTATGATCGTAAAATTAATCTACCCGAGCTCTACAGACCTCGTTGTCTCATTTTTGTCGTCTTGGACATCCTTCTCTCCAGAATCTGAAACACCAAGTTCCTAGTCTTAGTTATGTGTCGTCTTTGTCTTGTGAAGCTTGTCAACTTAGTAAGCATCACCGTGTGTCATTTCAGTCTAGAGTCAATAATTGTGTGTCTAGTCCATTTGAATTAGTCCATTCTGATATATGGGGTCCAATAAAGAATATTTCATCTAATAAATATCCTTATTTTATGACATTTGTGGATGACTATTCTCATGTGACTGGGTTATTTTTGATGAAAGCTTGGTCTGAATTATTCTCTATATTTGAAACCTTTTGTAAAGAAATAAAAACTCAGTTTGGTTGTCGTATACGTACTTTACGTTTCGATAATGCTCGGGAATATGAATCTGATCATTTTTCAGCTTATCTTAGTAAAACTGACATTATTGATCAGACTTCTTGTGCTTACACCTCTCCACAAAATGGTGTTGCTGAATGCAAAAACCACCATTTGTTGGAAGTCACCCGTGCCTTGTTATTCCAGATCAATGTTCCCCGATATCATTGGAGTGATGTTGTTCTTACTACTTGTCATCTTATTAATCTTATGTCCTCCTCTATGTTAAATGGACAAAGTCCATATTCTGTTCTGTTTCCTGGTAAGTCCTTATTTTCCCTAACTCCTAAGGTTTTTGGTTGTATCTGTTATGTTCACAATTTGGGTCCTGGATTTGACAAACTTGACCCTCGAGCTACCAAATGTGTATTTCTTGGTTACTCCTGCACGCAGAAGGGGTATCGTTGCTACAGTCCTTCTCTGCATCGATATTTTACTAGTACGATGTCACATTTGAAGAAACTGCTCCATACTTTCCAGCACCTTCTCAGCCTTTGGATCTGGACTTTGGCTCCTCTCCTGTACCACCATCAGATATTCCGCTGCCCACTGTGTTATCATCTACTTTACCTCTCCGTGTCTACTCTCGCCGTCCTCGTCCATCGACTGAAGTGCCCGTACCACCTTCCTTGCCGCCTTCTGATCCTGGAACATCAGGTAATTTAGATTCTTTACCTATTGCTCTTCGCAAAGGTACTCGTTCATATGTTACTAATCATTCCATTTCTCATTTTGTTTCATATGATGCCTTGTCTCCCGTCTTCTCTTGTTTTATTTCCCAATTATCTGCGATATCTATTCCTAAACATTTACATGATGTATTATTTGATCCAGGTTGGAGGAAAACTATGAAGGAGGAGATGAATGCTTTACATCATAATGAGACTTGGGATCTCGTTCCTTTATCCTCTGGTAAACGAACTGTTGGCTGTCGTTGGGTGTATATTGTTAAATTTCATCCAGATAATTCTGTGGAGCGTCTTAAAGCCCGGCTTGTTGCAAAAGGCTTTACTCAAACTTATGGTGTTGATTATGAGGAGATTTTTTCTCCTGTTGCCAAAATTTCGTCTGTTCGTATCTTGATTTATTTGGCTACTAATCTTGATTGATCCTTGTTTCAGTTAGATGTCAAGAATACTTTCTGACGTGGTGATTTGGTTGAAGAGGTCTATATGGAGTAGCCACTTGGGTTTACTGCTCAGGGGGAGTATGGTAAGAGTGTATGTCGGTTAAAAAAATCTTTGTATTATTTAAAGCAGTCACTGAGGGCATGGTTTGGTAAGTTTTCAGATGTAGTTTTAGAGTTTGGTCTTTTTCGATGTCAGACAGATCATTCTGTATTTCATAGACAGACAGATGTTGGGTATGTCCTATTGGTGGTCTATGTAGATGATATTGTGATTACTGGAAATGATTCTGAGGGGATTGCCAAGTTAAAAATATATTTACAGGATTGATTTCATACTTAGGATTTGGGAAAACTTATGTATTTCTTGGGTATTGAGGTGGCTCGATCTAAACAGGGTATTTGTTTATTTCAGAGAAAATATGTACTTGATATGCTTGAGGAAGTAGGTTTGTTGGGTGGTAGACCTATTGATGTTCCTATGGATTTGAATCAGAAATTATTGATGGATAATGGTGTGTTGTTTGAGAATCTGGGTCGGTATCGCAGATTGGTTGGGAAGCTTAATTATCTCACTATTACTCGATCGGATATTTTTTATGCAGTTAGTATAGTAAGTCAGTTCATGGGATGTCCTAGAGTACCATATTGGGAGGCAGTTACTCGTATTCTGCGATATCTCAAACGAGCTCCTGGACTTGAACTGTTAATTTGAGCTAATGGACATCTTAGAGTTGAAGGTTTCTCAGATGCTGATTGGGCTGACTCACCACTGGTTATTGTACTTTCCTAAGAGGTAATGTTGTCTCATGGAAAAGTAAGAAACAACCCGTGGTAGCAAGATTCAGTGCTGAGGCTGACTATAGGGCAATGACATACGATGAGTGAGTTGACTTGACTACTACACTTCCTCAAGGAAATTGGGTTTCCAGTTCAACTTCCTTTACAGTTGTTCTGTGACAACCAGACAGCTATCCATATCGTTGCCAATCCTGTGTTTCATGAGAGAACCAAACATATTGAGGTTGACTGTCATTTTATTCGGGACAAGATAGTAGTTGGGGAAATTACAACTCCATTTGTGAAATCTGAAGATCAGCTTGCAGATATGTTTACCAAAGTATTGAGTCGTACACGTCTTACAGTTATTTGTTGCAAGTTTGGATTATATGATATATATATATAGTCCAGCTTGAGGGGAAGTGTTAAGAATAATAGGGTAGTATGTGTAAATTGTTAATAGTAAGAGAGTATATGTGTTATTATTATTATTGTAGGTTAACTATAAATACAAGTTATGTATGAGAGCTAGGTTAAGTTTTTAACTTCTCTCTGTTTCTCCCAAAATATTGTCTCTAATATTATGTTAATCTTCCAAACTTGACACATCTTAGTAGCTAACCCACCTTCTACACCAATGACAGGTAGGTTGCGATGAGAAGGAGGTTTTTCTTTAGGGTGCCTCTGTCCATCATGGAGTAGTACGTCCTCTGATAATTGGAGATCATAGTTAGTGGGATCAACAAGGATTAAAGGCAATGAAAGTGCTATGCGGCTGGTTCCCGAGACGAGGGCTCTCCCATCGAACATGGTTCAAGGCTTATTTCGGTGGTAGAAAACTTAGTCGTTTCTCACAGACGGCCAATTGTGCAGGAATAATTTCACATAAGGAGTAACCACCTCGTACGGAGAGGGTTGTGAAGAAGTCTCGTGGAATCTGCAAGACAAAAGAGCACCTAAGTGAACCGATGGCTTGAGGCGGTCAAAGGGACTCCGATGCTTGAGTCAGATCGCAATTCAGAGAGTAGTATTGAGTAAATAGGTTAGGATTGAATTTTCAACCTGGTACCCAAAGACCTTTATTTATAGTGGTAGGAAGTTATGTTCTAAAGGGACTCGAACTCTACGTTGTAGTAGGATGGACCTTATTATCAGCTCCTAGATATTTGGGGTAGAGTTAGACCAGAACACTTGCTTCGAGGTCCTTATCATTATCTCTTGGTTGTTCGTACTAGCATTTAACTAGGACTCCTGCTCCTTAGTGCCTTATCACCAACCCCTAAATTTTCGGAGTAGTATCACACTAGGATACTAGGTCCTAGATTAAAGGAAATGATGTGCTTGGTAGGAGGTGTTGTTAGCCTTAGCACTAGTCCCTTGATACTCGGAGTAGAGTTGGACTAGGACTCTAAGTCCTTGGTTGGTCCTTAGTTGAGTAAGAGTTTCCTAGCGAAGGTGGACAAGGAAGCTTGTAGCAAGGAGGGAGTTGAGTAGTTGAGGCTTAGTGGTTGCAAGTAGGCTTGTGTAAGGACCTTCGTGAACTAGTGCCGATTGGCAGGCTCTCGGCCAAGAGGCTGCCGAGTGGCAGTGGTTCTCCCTTGCAAGTGCCAACCGGCAGGAGGTGCCTGGTCCTTGCAAGTGCCGACCGGCAACAGATGCTTGGTCCTTGTAAGTGCCGACCGGCAGCTCATGTTTGGTCCAAGCAAGTGCCAACCGGCAATATGAGCTTGGTCCCGCAGGTACATTTCTTCCAGTTTAGTTGGGATCACTGGAAGATAATGCAGTGATAAAATGCTGAAGCTGGTAACCACAAGGTTGGGGGTTCAAATAGGAGTGAAGTCAATTTCTGCGAATAATGCCAAAAGTTAAGCTTCCATTCAGTCCTCCACTCCCAACATTGTCAACTAATGGGGTCCAAATCAGATGATATCTTTCTAGTTTGTTTTTCTGTTTCGGTATGCTGAAAAAGACAGACTTACAGGCTTTAGCTTCCGAGGCAAGTAAAGTAATTCTTAATACCTGTGCTAATAAACGTAGCTATCAATCAGAACTCAAAAGTTTCTGATGAATCTAAATTTTGTTTTATTTCTGCTTTGTTACACTCTTAACACAAATTAGCCACCTGTGGCACATGCAAAATGCCAACTTTGCACACATTTGAATGACTTATGTAAAAATCATCTTACTTAGATAAATTTGGAGATAGGCACCTAGATGTGCACAGTTGCATTTATATGCTTACTTAGATGTATATCTAGTAGTAATATATGCATGTGCTATGCATAAGGAGTATGGTGATATTATAACTATAGTCACAAAGGGCAATGCCCAGTCTTGCAGTGGTGTGATGCTTAGTGTGGTGATAAATAACATAGATCTATTGGTCAGTGCATTACTTTATGATGCGTACATCATTTTTCCCTACCCATTTGCCATTTGCCACAGGTCTTTCTGTAGGAGTTCCTGCACATCCTTTGTACAAACACCTAGCATCCGCTTTGTACCAGTCCATATCATCTGGCGCCTTCTGTAGTACGTATAACAATATGACATTGATTCATGAAGACAGTTCCTTAAAGCAGAAGGAGGATCAGTGGATTAAATCGATTATGGAGAATGGAGCTGAGCTAATAAAAGTAAGTTAGAAGTGGCAATGTTGTGCATTTCCTGTTGTACATCTTTTTGTTGCTGATTAGTGCACGAAGCTCTTACAATTATTGATGTCTCTGATAACTATTTTATCAGATGCTGCAAGCTGTCAATTTTGAACTTCATGTTCAGGAACCTTTCTTTTCCCAGCTCAATGGTATTGATATGTGTGTTATGATTTCTGATTACTTTGGATGCCTTGCCAGAGCCTTGTTTGTATTTTGTTATTTGGTTTGTGATCGATTTTTTTCTGTACAGTCAAAGCTTATTACTTCTGGAAATCTGTCATTATCTGCAGATGGACTGAAAACAATTGAAGGAAGATGTGCTGTTGGTGACTACAGCCGGTTTGGCTTATTTAGTTCTTTCTATATATAACATGCATTTTGCTGCCATTTTTCCAGATTTTGTTTTTCATTTGTCCCTCCATAATTATAGCTTCTCAGTGTTTTATTTGTCCCCACCAAATGCAAAAACTATGGAATTGTCAAAGTGCCACCTAATTTGGTTCCATATCATACCCTGAATAACCAAGCACGACTAGTGACTCATACTGCAGCAACTTTTAACCACGAAATGAATTTATTTAATTAGATATACTTCAATACAGGGATCCTTCAGAAAGATAAGAGAGTTTGTAAGAAATCAACTAAGCTACTAAATTTTTTTGTGCATATGTAAAATGGTTTGTGGGGTTATGGGGATAGGAATTCCTACACACCTAAGTTGAATGTTTAAGGAGAGCTTGTATCTTACATTAGATGCTTAGAGCTACCCAAGGTAGGTCAATATGATTAAGGGATCTCTACACTCATTTTCAATTAGTTTTGGGCAAGGATCAAAATATCATTTCGAAATGGTCGAAACATCCGAAACGTTTCCGTTTTTAGGGAGACCGAAACAAATCAGTGATGAAAAATTTTTTTTAATATTTTGAGGTGTTCCATAATGTTTCGAAATATTTTATTATATTTCAATATATTTGCACAATTATTTTAGAATATTTCAAGGTATTTCAAAATTTTTTGATATATTTCGACCAATGTTTTGAAAAAATAATTCTTAAATTTTTATTATTTTTCATTCTGTTTTTGAAACGGGTCGAAAATTTTTTGAAACATGTCGAAACGTTTCCATTTTCTAGGTGACCGAAACAGTATACCGAAACGAAATTTTGATCCTTGGTTTTGGGTTAGATGCTCTGACTGGGTATTAGAGTTGAACCTTGGGTGGCCTATGTTAGAACTGGGCCTTGGGTGGTCCTTGGGCCAAGTTTATTAGCCATTTGAATTTACTAGTACGCATGTTTGTCTATTTGTTTGTTAGCCTCACGTGCAAGCTTGGGTCTCGTGTAAGGGAGGTAGTAAAGAGAGCTTGTATTTCACATTGGAAGATTATGACCACTCAAAGTTGATTAATATGCTTAAGGGCTTCTCTAGTCATTACCAATTAGTTTTGCATAGATTGATTTATAGTTCACTTAGAACTACTGAGTTTGGTTTACAAAAGTACAGGATGGTTAGAGATTGACTGAATCATGCTTCTCCCTGAACATGGGTTGGGTTTGGGTCAGCAGAAACTCTTACTCAAAATGATAAGGTTGGCATTAAGATTGGGTATTTACCTGTTCCTAAACCTGGTGCTTTGAATCAGCTTGTTTACCTTGGTTGAATTTTTGTATTCTGAATTGAATACCAAGTTATAAGATGCCCTTATGCTCTTTTTTTATAAATTGAAATCACATCAAATTTAAAGAAAATCACGAAGGAAACCGGAAGAAATCGGTGGAAGAAACCATAATGAAAGACTATGAACTGCTGTGTCCATCCTAAAAAATTCTAGATTTCTTGTTTTCGTAACATCTCGTAGAAAACCTTCAGTTGGACAGTTTATGCCGCAAAAGGGTTAAAAGAATGTTTGAAGCCTTATTGCTACTATACTTGCCTTGCTTATCTTAGCAAAATTGAATAGTGCGCCACACAGATGTACATATCCTGGTTTTCTTTGTGAGGTTTCCTTCTGGGTGAGAAGTGGGTATAACCTTGTCCACAGGGGAGGATGAAAAGTTTGGTTGGACTTGAAGATTTTTCTCTCGAGTATGCTAACAGTGACAAAGCTATTCAATGGCCTGAGGTGGCCATGGCCCCCCAGTGTTTTTTGAAGCCCCTACTATATATTCAGTACAAAGAGAGTTTTGTCATTTCAAGAGTATTGGTCTCTAGTATATATTTAATAAGTACATATATTCGGCACCTGTGGTCCACCCACCATGACTCAATAAAATATTGTCTTACTCTTTCTATGACAGTATTCTATCTATAGTAACATTTGTCAACCATTTCAACTCTTTCTTTAAAATATGCAATGGAAAGTTAACAAAATAATTTTATCATTCTAGCTTACTCCCAATTCCCATTCTTCATTCCGTGAATAAAGTTATAGAGATAGACCCTCTTACAGAAAAGCCCTCAGATGTAGATCATAATGAATTCTATGATAGAAAAGAATGTCGAACACAACTTTGACAAAAAAAATCATTTGATATGCATTAAAAAAAAACTATTTATTTTGTTTGTTTACTTCTTTTCTTAGTATTTTTGTTCATATAAAATTATCTTATTTTGGCTGCTATTTTTTTATGCATTGGAATTTTGAATTTTGAAATATAAATCTACTACGTATTGTTGGTCTGAGTTTTTGTGTATAAAGTTTGGCCCCTTCGATGATAGAATCCTAGCTCCATCCCTATATACCAATAAGTTCTGTTGGTCATGCCAATCAATTTTGTTGGTCCGTGGCCTACAATTCTGTTGGTCTTTGGCATACTTTTAGTTATTTTCTACGGCTATGAATCTCTTCTTTCTTGTATATTTACATATGTTATAAAGGGGCTGTTTGATAACACCATTTAAAACTTAAAACTGAAGACTTTAAGTACTTAATGGATTAAACTCGTTTGATAACCTAAAACTTATATCACTTAATATTTTAAACACTTCTTAAAAATATGCTTAAATTTTAAGCAGCAAGTCACCCACTTTTTACTTAATGCTGAAAATGTTACTCAATAAAGATTTTATTAATTTATAATAGACAAATATACTCTCAATGCATTTTATATTCTTAACTTTTCAATACCCTCCATCCTCCTCCATAACCACCACCACCACCATTATTGTGCTTCTGTTATAGTTATCAAATCGTGTATCGGAAGACGTATTATTTTTATACAAAAAAAAAATTAGTGTCTTATTTAAACAAAACGATGTTGTTTCATCATTGGCGGGGATAAAAAAATTAGCGTCTTATTTAGACAAAACGATGTCGTTAAAGAAAAAAAAAATCAGGTTTTGAGCGTATCGGTCGTATCGAATTGTAAAAACGTATCGTTTATCGGACGATACGACGCAAAAACGATACATAACTACGATCCGTATCGTTTTACCTCCGTATCGTAGCGTATCGTACGATACTAACAACTATGGTCTTTGCCACTAACACTATCACCGTCACCGTTCGCCACCATTATTATGTTGTTGCCACTACTATCATTATGCCACCATTGTCATTATGTCACCGCCGCCACCACTACAATTGTGCCACCGCTACTATTATTGTGTCGCTGCCACCGCCACTACCAGTGTGTCACCACCGCCACCACCTTGTGTCGTTGCCACCACTACCATTGTGCTATTGTCACTATCACCATTGTTTAACCATCGTCACCACCTTGTGTCGCCGCCGCCACCAGCACCATTATGTTGCTGCCATCATCACCATTGTGTCACTGTCACCATCACTATTGTGCCACTGCCACTCTGACCATTACCACCATAATTGTGTCGCCGCCACCACCACTGTCATTGTGCCATCGCCACTCCCACCCTCACCTTCACCATTGTGTCGCCGCCGCCTCTGCCACCACCATCATTGTGTCATCGCCACTAATAACATTATCCCACCACCACCATTGTGTCATCGTTGCCACCACATTACCATTATGCCATCGCCGCCACCACTACCATTGTGCCATCGCCGCCACCACTACCATTGTGCCATCGCCGCCACCACTGCCATAATCATCGTTGTGTTGCCGCCACCATCACTACTATTGTAATACCATCATTACCACTATCACCACCACCACTGTTACCATCTTGTGTCACCACCACCACTGTTACCATCTTGTGTCACCGCCACCATTACCATTGTGTTACCTTCACAATCACCAATGTGTCACTGTCACCACCAATATTGCCACCACCACCACAACACCACCACCATTGTATCACCGCAATCATCACCATTACTATCACCATTATCGTTGAGATGATAGTGATAAGAATAAGGTAGTTGTGGATAGATGGTTAAAAGAATGACAAAATTAAAATAATAATAATTTTTAGATTTCAATTCTTTATATTTGTTAAACAGTTTGTTTCAATTCAATACTTAAATTTCAGTTGATACCAAACAGTATACGAATTAAAAAATTTAGTATTCAACACTTAAAATTCAGCATTCAGTTTTCAATGTTCAGCTTTCAGTTTTATCAAAATCACCTAAGTGCATTTATCTTTTTTTGTAAGGTCAAATATGTTTTCAGGCGTGTTTAAACGTACCTCTAACCTTAAGAGGTATACATGGGAGTAGTCGAGCATTCCAGCTACTCTCTGGCGAAATTCGGGGAGAGATTCAAATGGATCTTCCATCACGATTATACACATGAAATTGCTATTACACAACTTAAAAGGGGTGAATAGGTTAATTGAAATTAAAGCTTGAACAACCACCAATTTTTTAACATAAACTATTACAATTACCAATTAGTCAATGTATTAGCAATTGAGTACGCGAATCTTTT